GCCACACCCACACCCACACCCACACCCACACCCACACCCCAAACCCACACCCCAAACCCACACCCACACCCACACCCAGATACCCACACCCACACCCACACCCTATTTTTAATTATTTTCAAAATAGTTCAATGATGATTATTGTAAATTGTTTTGAGCAAGCATTCTATAATAAATACCACGTTGTTGTATCAGTTCTGTATGAGTACCACTCTCTACTATATGTCCTCTATCAAGTACACAAATCAAATCACATGAACGAATAGTTGAAAGACGATGAGCAATAATGAGTGATGTTCGACTAGAATCTTCTGTTTGAGCTTGTTCAAGAGCTTCTTGTACAATCTATTATTGAAAAATGAAGATGTAACTATAATTGTTACATAGACAAAAAAAAAGCTTACTTGTTCATTATGCGAATCCATGGCACTTGTAGCTTCATCTAAGAGCAATACTTTAGGTCGACGAAGAAGAACTCGAGCAATAGCAATACGTTGCTTTTCACCACCTGACAGAAAACTGCCTTTCATCCCTACTTTTGTTTCATAACCCTGAAAAAAATATCATACAATAGTAATAGATACATGATATATTTTTGTATTGTCTAACCTGAGGTAATTGTTCAATAAATTGATGAATATTAGCTTTTCTTGCTACATTGATAATGTCTTCCATTGGAACATTTTCTAAACCGTATGCAATATTTTCAGCAATTGTTAAATCAAACAAAATCGGTTCTTGACTGACAAGGCCGAATTGAGAACGAATCCAATGAAGATTTAGTTGTCGAATATCAATGCCATCAACAAGCTAGATTAAGTAGAGAAATTTTATATGATTATTTAAACTATGCTATGAAGAAATGCTAACTATTCGACCACTTGTAACATCATAAAATCGTTCGAATAGTTGAATAATTGTTGATTTTCCACATCCGGATGTACCTGTATGGATCATATTACATAATTAAAATTTAAAATAGACATTCAATTCAAACATACCAACAAGAGCGACACGTTGACCTTATTAGTGAATATAAATTTGAAAAAGAAATGATTAAATCAAACTCTATATGACTTACTTGCCTTGACATGCAATTGAACTTTGTTAAGAATAATAGACGTTGGCCGAGCTGGATAAATAAATTTGACTTGATCGAGTTTTATCTCTCCACGAAAGTGAACCTACATGAATGATATTATATCCATGGCATGTGCATAATTGAAAGAAAATAACAATTTTCTATGTCGTCTTACCAATTCTTGTCCTTCATTAGATGTATTGTCTATTGGTGGCTTTCGATCAAATAAATCAAAAAACGTTTTAGCAGCTGAAACTGATGCGGCGATACGGTTAGACCTAGAATGGAGACAATAGAAAAAGAAAAATAATGTAAACTTGAGATTGAGAGTGTTACATGAATCCAACGAGTCTTAATGCTTGCTTGGAAAAAACAGCAAAAGCAAATACCCTAATAAATTGAAAATATAATGAAAAATTGTCTCTAAATTATCAAACTATAACTTCATTACATTATGACACGGTTTGCGGCTAGTTCGTTCTTCTCAAAGAGGACGAGAGCACGCCAATATACAAATGCCATAGCGTATACATCTACTGCCCAGTATATGCCATATGTTATTGAAAGTACTATCCAAGGTTTCCAAAACAATCTATGAGAAAATAAGATTGATTAAAAATGAATACATGCATAAGATTCGATTGACCAACATAAATACTTCATGAAAGAGTTCAGAATATTGTCGTAATACTTCTTTTTCGATTGACAATTGTTTTATTGTACGCATATTGTGAATCACTTCAACAACAAGCTGCAGAAGTAAAAGATAGAATGAATGTAGTATATTCAGTTTGATAAATAGCTCATAATTAAATAGTTTTCTCCATGAAAAGAAAGGTTATCAGCTCAAATCTGATCTTACCATGCTTGCTCGTTCGATAATGCGACCAGTTTGCTGAGTCATCAGTAAGCGTAAGCGCACTTCTCCATATAAGATTAGGAATAGGAAAAAAAGAGGACCAAAAACAATCAATGTTAATTGCCAACTTATGAGACATCCAAATAGAATTCCAAAAAACGACAGTGCAAGAGCTTCACAGATGACTCCTAATCGGGTACCAGCCATATCTTGAACGGCTGATGCATCAGAAGAAAGACGAGTACAAATCGCACCAGAGCTATTTTCAGGTTGATCGAAAAAAGCAACTTCTTGACGAAGAAGACATGCGAAAGCTTTCGAACGAATACATTGCGTCAATTTCGATCCTGCTATGGCAAAAGCTATATACTATAGAAAAGAGTAAATAAATCATTGATCAAATTCAGAAGTAGCATTTTTACTTGAAAGAAACGTAGAACCCATACAAGAGCACCCAAAAGCAAAAAAAATAAACTGCTAATCAATACATGACGACGTCGTTCAGATGTTGAACAATATTTGAATGCCTACACAATAAACAAATCGATGTAAAAACGATATATATTGTCAATATTTTTGCTGTATGAATGAACGACTCACTTCGACCATTTTGGTGAGTAAAAATGCAAACAATGTTTGAGCCACTCCATTAAGTACACACATTATGCAACCAATCAAGATCGTGATCCATTCAGGACTATTCATTGATAAGAGTCTTAGAAAGACAAATCTTTGTCTCAATGGTCTCGTAGTTTGCTAAAAGAGAGATTATCGTTAATGGTTTTATAAACAATTGCAGTAGTATTTGTACTTTGTTCACATCATCAGTTTGACTATCGCTAAGTAAAGGAGAGCGTTCAACTGTTAATGAAAAAACGACGAAGAAAATTGAAGACTATTACTATTGGAAATCTCAACATACATATCGACTTTTCATCTTCTTCTGTCGCTTTTTGTGTGCTCATCATATCATCTTGATCATCATTGATTCTTTCCATTTGTTGACGTTTGACCATTGATTGATATTTGCTTCCTTCTTTTGCCATTAATGTTTCATGTGTACCTTGCTCAATCACACTTCCATTATCTAATACATATATATGATGAGCATTTTGAATTGTAGTCAAACGATGAGCAATCACGATAGTTGTACGATCTACACAGAATGTTATAGCAATTCGTTAAGCAGGAAAAAAACAATTGTTACCTTTGTATGCTCGATCGAGTGCTTCTTGAACAATTTTTTCACTAACATTATCAAGTGCACTTGTTGCTTCATCCAGTAAAAGGAAAGTAGGCTGTCTGACAAGAGCACGAGCTAATGCAATACGTTGTTTTTCACCACAACTCAACTGGACACCACTTTCACCGACAAGTGTTTCATATTTCTAAACAAGAAATAATGATATATAATGATACATATATGTAGATAACGATGAATATTTGCCACAAACATTTGGTAATTCCATGATGAAATTATGTGCATTTGCTTCTTGCGCTGCTTGTGTAATTTCTGCTTGTGTTGCATTTACTTTACCAAAACGAATATTTTCATAAATACTCATACCAAACAGAATCTATTACAATATTGAATTAAAATATAAGAGAGAAAAGAAAAACGAAAAAACAGCATACAGGTTCTTGACTAACAACTCCAATGTTTTGTCGAAGTTGTTGGACATTGTAATCTGTTATTGGTCGCCCATTGATTATTATTCGACCAGATGATGGTTCATAGTAACGAAGAAAAAGTGATATACATGTACTTTTTCCTATGAATAAATTATGAACAACAATGGGATCACTTGAAGATTTTTGTTTTTTGAAAATACTTACCACAGCCACTTGAACCTACGAGAGCAGTTGTCTGACCAGCACGAGCAATAAAAGAGAGATTACGCAGAACTGGTACATCTTTTCGAGATGGATAACTAAAGTTGATATTGTCAAATTCAATATCACCATTGATATTATAAATAACTTCTGTATTCTCTTTCCAAATATCTATTTCATTGACACTTGCATCATTTTCCTATATCATGTAAACAAATACAGAATGTGGCTATTGATATGAAACCTCGATTTACTCAGATTTACCTCATCAATAAGTCGAAACACTGATGCTGCTGCACCTCGAGCTTCTGAAAGTGATTGAAAGTAAGGACCAATAAAACTGAAGACTTTCAAACTTTGTGCAAAGATGGAAACAACCTACATTAAGATAATAATCGTATATTCATTTTCTTAGTAACTGATTATATGAATTACTCACGACAAGAATATCACTAATATTCAATGTATGATCATATTTGTATGACATAAGAAGAGAACCAAAGATAAAACCAACTGAATAAACTAGGTAGGTTATCAGAGATAAGCATCCAGTATAAATTCCAAAAATTGTACCTTTGCGTATGCTACTCCAACAAGTTGGATACAATTCTCTGTCATATCTACATGCAATAAAAATAACAATATGCAGTATGATATCATATCGACACACGGTTTTTTTTGTATATTCATTTACCGTTTTTGCTCAAACTTGTTACCATTGAGAGAAAGAACAGTTCGTAGTGAACTAAACACTTCTTGAACGATTTGCCCTGCTTTCGAATATGTCATCAACTCATTCATTGCTTCTGTAGCGGTGAGCTGTAATAATTCACATATATTTATTTCATTGAACAATATTTCATACCTTAGAAAACACTAATGAGCTACCAATGACCAAAGGTATGAAACATAGCATTATCAAAGTCAATTGCCAGTTGATAATGAAAGATACTATTAAACAACCAATGATTTTGAGTAACGTTGCCATCAATACTAACAATTCATAACCAATGCCTTTCTCAATCTTTTCAATGTTACTATCAACAATTGAATCCGATGAAGTTATTTGATATAAAATATCACAATGACTTACTCAAACAGTTTAGCATTGAGTTGACTAGTCGGATTGGCATCTATATAAGAAATACTCTAAAAACAGAGAGAAGGAGAAGCAGTCATATATGAGCACACTTCATTGAATGTTACTTTGATTCGACTCTCAGTATCCTAATTCGACTTCATTTGTATTTTCTTAGATATAATCCAGTTTCAGCTTTATATTTTTTGAAAATCTTACTGCAACTCTGTCTGTAGAAAGTCATGCTCTATCTGATTTGTTTTTATAACAAGTTGAATCCTTTTAAATTTGTTCCTGCAGTTTGTGTTTTCCCCGTCAAAGGTTCCTATTTTCACTCGACAAATCACCAAGTTGCAGAAATCTAATTACGATTGATAAAAATCTATTACCTTAAATTTCACTCGAACTGTTATGTAAGTCAACGCCAACTTCAGTGAGATTGCACATATCAAATATTAAGTTCTAGTATAATAGCAATCTAATGAGCTATTCACCCTAGATATCCTCTTTAGATTCAATGACTTTTTGCTTATATATATTAAATAGCATTGTAGTGGAAACTCTCACGAGGAAACATATCCAGCTTTTGGACATCGTTCGACTTCACGTTATGGCTATGAATAGGTCTCAGTGAAGTTAAGAAAAGCTTAAAAGGATATAGATCCATGGCCTATTGTTGAAGTGTTATGGCCATTTTATTGAAATGTCAAACAGGAGCAAGACAGTTCAGAAAAATCCAAAACAAAGAGTTTTGTGATAAAATTATGCCTATTTGTTCGTTTGAGAGTCATCAGATAATCATGAAAGTTTCAATTAAAACAAACATGTCTTTTTTGAGATAGTCAATTTCGAATGGAATTCGATTGCTATGTCTTCCTACCGCAAATCGCTCTTTTTTTCACATTGACTATCTCGAAAAAGACATATTTGCTTTCATAGAAACTTTCAGAACTATCTGATGATTATCGAACGTATCAATAGACGTAATTTCAGCTCGAAGCTCTTTATTTTGAATTTTTCGGAAATACTTTGTTGTCAGTACTTAGAAGTTTCATTAAAATAAGCATAAGTCTTCAATAATATGGCATGGGTCTAAATCCTTTTAAGTTCTTCTTAGTGTTACTGAGACTTGCTCGTAGTCCTAATGTGAAGTGTAACCGCGTCCGACAGTTGAAAATATTGCCTCATAAGAAGATTTCAGTTCTTATTGAAACTTGGGGTAGCTATTGAGTTTTTAATATTTCTATTTGCCAGAGACACTTCCAGGATCTCATGTTTGCTGAAAAATCGTGTCTCTGAATTTTTGCTATCGAACTATCTCTATTTGAAAGTTTCATACTCATTAGCTTTTATGAAATATTCCAGAGTTTTTTGATTTCGCATCTACGAAACACAAGCTTTTCAGAAATAGAAGTTTTTTGAAATATATTGAAAGATACAAGAATATTTTGAAAAATTCGTATCTTGAAGATACGAAATATATAAACTCTGAGACTCTCTATACAATGTGCTGTATATGAGACCTTCAAATTGTGATGGCTTTAAGACCATATTTAAAAAAAGACGATTTTTCTACCAACCAGGGATCCTACAGCGATTTCTGATAAATAGAAGTTTTAAAAACTCAATAGTTCCTCCAACTCTCAATAGAAAATGAAATCCTTTTGGAGTTTCTACAAGAATACTATATAGTATCTAGAGGCAAAAAAAAATCACTGAAATCGAAAGGAAACATCTGAAGAAGTTTCCTCGTAAAGCGACTCAATATAACTTGGACGTCTGTAGATAGAAGTACCTATTCCGAGTTGAAGTGACGCATATCTGTACAGAGTAAAATCATTTCTATACACAGTAATCTAGGAAATATGTAGTATGATTGAAGTCTCTACATCGATTCGTTAATATTTGTTTAATATCATTTTAGAATTACACTATCTAAACTTCAGTTTTCCAGAAATATTCGTTATTTTACTAGTTGTAAAACTGTATAAATAATGAAGATAGACATCTTCATTATTGTAAAGCCATCATCTACTGAAGTTAAAAGTTCCCAATAGAACAAGAAATGATCGTGATTGCTCTACAAACTTCAAAACGATTATATTTATATCAACTTCTAAGCATGTGATATGTGAGTGATAGCGAGGTTGACTATGCGTTTGTACTCTTGTCGTAAATCCGTGGTTTTAGATCTAGATGTCCTGGAAATCTAGATATTTCCAAGTACATATTACTCTTATCTAAATGCTTTAGCTTATTTCGTAGATTTGTTAGAAGTGCTAATTTTTGGATGGTGAAGTTTTCTTTAATAAAACTTGTCAGTGCAGCTCCTTGGGAGACCAATGTGTGGAACTTACAACTCTGACTTTTATAAATCTATGATATATTGTTAGAGCTTTTAAAATAACTTATTTTAAAAAGTGTCAAATAAATGAATAAATCAAAATTATGAAAATTTTTATAGCCGATAGGCGCGCTCTGAAGTCTTATCATTTCGAAAATGTTCACATTTCTAATTGCTTATCTAACAATTTATTTGATTCATTTAACCTCGTTATACTGTAAAAACTTATTTGTATCATCAGATACATCTTCAATCCATAGCTTCTTTTCTTCCAATGATAATATATCGATAACAAATACCATAGATAGCGATCAATATAATTTAACTTTTCGTTTCGTCGATTTAACTACTATATTAGCTTGCTATGCACATCGACTTTATCACTCAGTGAGCTACTCTGCACACTGCCCAGGTCAGATTCACTCCGTCGGATCCTATCGGATTTGACATTATCCGATAGTTTTTGACAGTCGGAATTCGATCGGATCGGACGCTCGGATTCTTCGTCCTGATTATCCTTTCTCTCGATGAATTTTGACATATACTGTTGAATTTTGCCTAAAATTAGAATTCAATCAGTTCAGATTTTTCCAGATCCGTCCCATTCCGACTTTATCAGGTCAAAACGACCATCCTATTGATTAACCCCTTCAATAAGATCTTTTCGCTGCATGAAAAACAAAAAAGCGCAACATTTAGACTACACTACTAGAATCTACTGATGAGGGAAGATCCCCAACTGATCCATGCCGTTTTTTGTTGATATTTTGCCCATGTGTCGGGTTCGATAAGACTAGAAAAAGCCTAAAAGAATAACGATCCATAGGCCTTCCTTCTCGAGTTATGATCATTTTATTGGGTTTATCACTAATGACAAGAGATTCAGTGAAAAATCAAATTACCGAATTTCGATCTAAAATTTTTTTCACATGCAAGTCTTATGGCTTGTATATTAACCGAAAAGTTTCAACCAAAAAGGAATGCTTCCCCTTGAAGTATTGCGTTCTCAACAAAACATTACCATGTTACACATGTCAAGAAAATCGACTTTTATGGAAAACTCAACATTTCCCGAAAGAAGCATTCGTCTTGGTTGAAACTTTTAGGCTAATATACAAGGCATAAGACTTGCATGTGGAAAAAATTTTAGATCGAAATTCGGTAGTTTGATTTTCCACTGAATCTCTTGTCATTAGTGATAAACCCAGTAAAATGATCATAACTCGAGAAGGAAGGCCTATGGATCGTTATCCTTTTAGGCTTTTCTAGTCTTATCGGACCTTAGATATAGGCAAAATATCAACAAAAACGGCGTGGATCAGTTGGGAACCTTTTCTCGTAATTTTCAGAATGATCTAAGCACTAATATTACGTACACGCCATTTCCCGTTGCTATGGAAACTTATCCAATAACTGTTGGCTTCCTCCTCCCACGGTTGCTAGGGTGATAGGGATAAATTACTAGAATCTATAAGGGGAAGGAGGTGATTTCCTTAAATCTGTAATGGAAGCCTAGAAGGGTGAGAGGGAGCCGCCAATATCTCGATTTAAACTTACACACACTATTGTCTTCAAAAATATATGTCAGTTCCACAAAAGCGCATAAGAGGTTACTAATTTATAGTAACACTAAGAAAAGACTAGGACTAAACTTTCGGAACAGATTTTTTTTGTAAATGGAAGTATATTTGACTTACACGTTGAACTAGTGATCGAAAGAGGGAAACACCCATACGAAATGTTTGTCGTTTCACACTAATGATCCAAACGAAATTTTCAATCGAGCTAACCAGAAATTCGACAGCACCAATCACTATATGAATAGAGAAAAAAGACAACTTACATTATTTGTTATTATCAAATTATTAGGTTCACTTAACTTACTGAATAACCAATGAACTATGTTCATAACTTTTTCTCGAAATGAAGGCATTGATGTTGCTATGGTTGATAATAAAGCTACATCAATTTTATGGCGCAGTCTAAGATGAGAAAAAAATATCAAAGAAAAATAAAAGAAATGCATATGAAATAATAATAGTTCTTGCTGATTTACTTATATGAT